ATACCGAAACTCTACAAATGATAATAAAGCTAGTTGCAGTTTATCCTCAAGAATATGATCCAACCAAGGAGGACGATCTTTCTTTGTAATCACATACTGATACTGAACTCCCAATAGTAAAAATTCATGTCACTCATCTCCAAAATCTTCATCATTGGTTAACACAACCTGTTTATCTAAAGTAGCATCAATTTCATCTTTGTGTGCTATGACATGTGTTATTGGAGTAAAAATTGTAATATATTTAGATTGGGGATCCACATAAGGAAGTAGAAAAGGATCATCAAGGAAATTAAAAAGGCCTTTGTAAGTAACTAAGTCCTCAGTATGTAAAGTAGAGTGGTGACCAAAATGTGATGAAAAATCAATGACATGTGCATATGGACCAACATACTTTAAGACTTTAAAAGTACTAGCACTACTAGCTTGTAATATAACATAATCCCTAATATTAAATTCAAAATATCGTTTATGCAAATTAGCTTGATGTTTATATAATACATTGCTTGCGTCAATTTGCTTATTGATCTCAATATACAAGTCATGAAGATGATACGCAAATGCTTCAGTTGACATCGACACACTAGCATGTGGGGACATGAAAATAAGGTCTAACAGCCGCCTAGACTTATAACTATGAACAGCTTTAAATGGATTCAGATCTAGAGACTGATTTACAGAATTGTTATACGCAATTTGAACGGTTGGGGGAATCAAGTCCCAATTCCCAAGATTTTTCTGGACTAGAGACTTGAATAAATTGCCAGGACTTTGGTTAACGACTTCATTTTGACCATTAGCCTGGGGTTGTTCTGCAGTGGAGAATTTCGATTTAGTGCTAACCATAGGCAACTGGGTTCTTTCAAAGTGACTAGGGAAATCATGGGATATAGAATCTGGAGTCCTAAGAAGAGCCTGGATGCCACCTAAGGAGGTGTCCTCACATCATCATCAAAATCTTCAAGTTTAGGGTCGTATGCTAGATCTTCTAACAATTCTTCTATTGCGTTCTTTCGTTCTTCTATGACTAAGGCTCGGTTAGGACATTTGGAAGAGATGTGGCCAAAGTTCTTACAGCTGATGCATAGCAAGTGAGAAGTCTTTGGAATTTCAAAAATTATACCCTTATTTTTCAAAATTGGAGGAACATTAGATGGGGGAGGTTCTAGAAGAGACTTAACAGGAGGAAGTGGAGCCAATGAAATCGAAGGATGATTGTCATTACGCTTTCTACATGAAGAAGACGACATTGGACTATCACGACCTTTGCATTTATTTTTCCAAAGAGAAGGAACACTAGACTGGGAAGGCTCTATGATAGACTTATGATGAGATAATGCTAATGAGATGGGTGAACGATGGTGATCACGCTTTTCATATGCAGTACTAATAATTAACTCAAAATCACGAGCTAAAGAATAAGATTGATTAAGAGTGGTGACACCCCGAAAGAAAAGCTCACGCCTGAGATCATCTCTTAGACCTTGTGTAAATCTACTCAAAGTCAAGGCCTCATCCTCAATGACATGACATTTCATTCGAAATTCCTCAAATTGAGCAATATAATCAGTCACTAATTGATTTCCTTGTTTAAGGGCATTCCATTGAGTAAAAATTTCAAAATTATCTCGTTCTCGCTCACAAACCTGATCCCTATACCTATGATCGTGTCTAAAGCATTTTGATCACCATGATGATGATGATAATGTCTATTATGGGACACTTTAGATTTATGGACGTTGGTTGGATGAGGGATTTGCTTAAAATTGTTCAAATTAGTAAATAGAGCCTTACTTTCTTCAAGAGTAGCAATCATCTGAGTTTGGATAGCCGCTATTTGTCAGGTGAGTGCATCAATTTGTGAGGGGTCCATGTTTAAAGTAGTAAAGTAACAAGACGACCACTATGCAATTGTACGCAAAGCAACACTACCTAAATGAAATGCAATAGAGAGATCAACATGCAACAAGGACCAACAATTAAAAACAGCAATTTGAAATTCTCTCTCTCTCTCTCTTTGAACAAATTTTGGGGTTATGGAATCCAACTATGTAAGCTAATAGTGCTGAGGTGTGTAAATAATAAAGCAAGGGTCCAATTAACTTGTCAAAATTTCCAATCACGTAGGTAAATGGGGTAACAACGGCAAGTTAATTTAGTGACTGATTCTAGGCAAGTGAAGTTTGAGGCCAAAGTTATGAGAGCACAGTGACACAAAGACTCTAAATGATGCACTTTTAAAATAAAACAGTAGTGTAAACTAATGAAAATTAGGAGATAGCGACTCCCTGTTGTCCAGTTGACTCAGGGGGCTATAATGGTTCTTTGCAATTGTGGAGGCAGTTGGTAAAGGAGACAATTAACTACTTGATTGATGAAGTCGGCTGTTGTCAGCAATCTTCAAGAAAGTTGCTGAACAATTGAATCCATTTGAAGTTGTTGAGTAATTAGGTCCTCAAGATTGGGCTGGTGGTGGGTCACCCGCGAAGAGGCTATAGTCGGCGAAACGGCCGTGGTGGTTATCGCCAGAGACGCGATGAGGGCTTGGCTCTTGAGGAATTGATGTGTGAATGTGTTTGGGAATGAATGGGTCTCTTTAATTGATGATGGGGGTGTGGGCTGTTGGGGAAATTGAAAAATGTCAGATGGAATTAAATTGTAACAAGATGAAGAGGTGTAGTGGGCTTTGAGAGTAATTTGGACCACTAGCTTATGACCCAAGTGTTTTGATAAAAAAAAAAAAATGAATGGACTAGGTTATAGAGATGAAATATATGGGCTGAAGGGCTAAGTGGGCTTTAATGCTAGGGTTTGAGATTGGTGGAACAACACCACAATTTATATATATATATATATATATATATATATATATATATTTTGGGCGTGAACAGTACCCATGAACAGTAATTTTTTTTTTTTAAATTGACCAAAATACTAAACTGAAGTTCTGGGTGAACAGTACCCGCGATGAACAGTAACTCTTTTTTATTTTTATTTTTTTAACTAAGACTAAAAATTGAAGGAAAAAATTGCTGCATTTACCAAAAATTCTTTTAGTTCGTGCCGTTCCAACAAATTTTGGGAAGGAAATATGAAGAAATTTTGGATTAAAGAAAAGAAATTACCCAAGGTTCGGCTCTAATACCAAATTTGATGCAGTATCAATAAGATGATTAATAGAAAATGACAACAGATTCAGAAAGAATAGGAAATTAAGGGGGGGGGGGGAAGAAGAAGAATTTAATCGAAGAAGGCAGAAGAAAGAGAGGGATGCGCCATAAGCCACCAAAATAATTATTCATTCATTAACTGTCTCAAATACGCAACAAAACAGAAATAAATATTAAAACAAAAACCCTAAAGAGAAGTGTTTGGCCCAAACCCACTATACAAGCCAATAACAGAAACATAAATAATAATCCAAATAGAATATAACTAATAGTCCAAATAGTAAATGAATGTCCGCATCAAATCCTTTCTTGAATGGAGATCTATTTGAAGAAGTTTATATGGATCTTCCTCTTGGGTATGAGTTTCATAAACCTGTTTGACAAGGGAAGAAAATGGTTTGTAGATTGCACAAATCCATATATGGCCTTAAGCAAGCCTCGAGGCAGTGAAATTCAAAATTTTATCATGCTCTCATCCAGTACGGCTTCTCTCAATCTAAGGCGGATTAGTCTCATCAAAGGAAAACTTTGTAGCCTTGCTAGTATAAGTGGATGACATCGTTATTACTGGGCCTAACATTCAAGTCATTGATTCTTTAAAGGGATTTTTACATTCTCAGTTCAAGCTTAAAGATCTGGGTGTTTTGAAGTAATTTTTGGGGATTGAAATTGCCGGGGGGTATCGTCATTTCATAGAGACAACATGCAATGCAATTAATTGAGGATGCAGGTTATTTGAATTGTAAACTTGTAAACAGTCCTATGGATCCAAAAACAACTCTTAGCATACATGAGGGGAATTTGTTGCCAGATGCACATTACAGGGAACTAATTGGAATATTGATTTACTTGATTCTTTCACGGCCAGATATCACATTTTCCGTCCACAAGTTAAGCCAATTTATGTCTCAACTGAGGTTGCCACATCTTAAAGCAATCCATCATTTTCTTGATTATTTGAATGAAAGTTCTGGCCAAGGTCGCTTTTTCTCTTCTCATCCATCTCCTGATTCCACCATTAAGATTCGAGCATTTTCTTATGCAGACTGGGGATCATGCATTGACACTTGAAAATCCACTACTAGTTTTTGCATCTTCATTGGTGACTCATTGGTCTCTTGGAAATAAAAAGACAGCCTACCATTTCTCGTTCATCAGTTGAAGCCAATTATAGAGCACTAGCAACCACAGTTAGTGAAATCATTTGGATCAATCAGTTGTTGCTGGATTTTCAGGTTGCCGTTACTCCTCCAGCAGTCATATATTGTGATAATCAGGCTACCATTCAGATTGCAAATAATCCAATATTCCACGAGCAAACAAAGCACATCAAAATCGATTGCCACTTCATTCGAGACAAGATTACAACTGGGCAGTTAAGGTTCTTCCGGTTCGATCAAAACACCAACTTGCTGATGCATTCACCAAACCCTTACCTGCTTATGTCCTCTCTCCTTTATTGTCCAAGATGTGCGTAAAGAACATTTGCCTCACATCTTGAGGGGGCGTATTACGACTTGTGTATATAGTTAGGAAGTTATGACAATTAGCTAGTTTCTTGTGCCAACTAGATTTTAGTTATGACAATAGGCATATTTTCATTTCTATTTAAACTGAAGATGTATGTACAATTCACACACTTTTTGCATGATCAATACAATCAGTCTTCATTCACATTTCAGCTCTAATATCTGGCATAAATTGATGGTTCTTTCACCGCAGCAACAATGTTGAGCGACTCTGATTCAATCATCCCAACAGGTAGCTTCTGATCTTGGACAAACTTTAAGCCCTCCCAATTCACAAACATTCGGGAGCAAGAAGCGGTAGAGTTTCCAGAATTGATTTTGCGAAACCAACCACCACATGACCCTTGTTTGTGACAGCATACACTTGAAAGAATATATATATAACTTGAATAAGGATCACAAGTAGTATTTCATTTTATCGAAGTCTATTGACCAAAATACATGAATGATTGACAGTTTTGCTTACCTTCGTTCTCTTATAGAGGATTTTCAACACCATCAGCACATGGCGAAACCAAGCTTTCCATGTAGACACGCCCTTCAAGAATGTCATCAATGACATCAGTTTGTGACCTTAGCTAGTTCATTTTGGGATCGTAAACTGCTATAGATGATCCCAAACGCAATACACTCTAGCCATTCCTAAGCAAACATAATGGCCTAATACCTAAATACGTGCAGTCAAGATTAAAATATTGGATTCTAATAATTTTTATCTAAGATTTTGCAATTCCATCCTCTTTCATTACCCATCCATTTATATAAGTTTACCCATCATTGAGAAGCATACTAAGCCATATCCTCCCAAATCCAACAATAAAGATGGAACATAATCACCTAAATAATCTGATCGTGAAACCTCATTTTACGTCTCCTCCAATAAATCAAGAGAAACAAATACCATTCATAGCCACATACTGCCGACCAATGGAGTTTACAATTTGCAAACTTATCCAATTCATTGTTCGGAAAACCCCTATGGGAATCCTCAATCATCTTCCAAGAATTAGTCCTCAAACTGTAAATTTCAATGGCATATGGTCCATTGCGATTAACGTAGTTGAAAATGGATACCACTTGTAAAATCACCTGAGTCTTCATACCCAAACCCATATATTAAATTACAACTGTACTTCACATAGTTACTAAAGCGAGGCAATCTTTTGGATTTCCTAATCGACGGGTTCCACAAATATAAATTTCTATCTCCAAAGCAAATACAAATCCAATAACTGGGTTCCCTCATTGGAAAATCCAAAGAGATAGAATTCGTACTTGTTTTATAAAGTAAAGAACAATACCTGAGATCATAATGACGAAAAAGACATAAAATGAGTTTATGATGGGTGAAATCCGGGTTGCTAGTTGATCTAACGAGATGAATTTTGTGCTGGAGATCAAAGAACACCATAATTTTGAAATGCACTTGAATTTCAAGAGGGAATTATCTCACACAATATGGAAATAGGCAGAAGTGACATAATCGTCAACTGCTCTTAACACAGCCAAAAAGCTTGGTGGTAACAAAAGCTTGAGTGATTACGTAACATGTTGCAGTTTTCTCAATATGTATTTTTCAATTGTAGGATTTTTAAAAACAAAGCAAACACTTGGATTAAGATTAATAAAGATAGAGTTGCAAGAAAAAACATGAGGTTCAGGTAATATCATATATATATATTCAAAATTCAGGAATTCAAAAAAGTTAGAAAGGAAATTATGAAAAAAACATCAATAATGCTTCACGTACAGAAAATAGATAACAGAAGGGATACAAAAATTCAAAAAATCTGATGTGGCACCAGTCTTCATTATTATTTCCTAACAACTGCCAACCCGTCCCCTTTTACCCCACCCCAATACACCCCACACCCAACACAACCACCCCACGCCCCTTATTTCCCTTATTTACGATATCAAATTTCGAAAGTATTACGAGAATGTTATATGAAGTCGAAATATTACATTTTTAATATCATTTCGATGTGCTCACGGCCTAGTTTATCGCATTCTTAATCGCGTACAAAACGGTCAAACGTAGCAAAAGTTACCACTCGTCGAAATAGGTCGTTCCAAAATATATAAATGATTTTTCTTATTTTTGTCTCAACTTTCGGGATCATTACGGGATGTCAAACGAAATTGAAATATCGCATTCTTAGCACCATTTCAAAGTGCTCACGGCCTAGTTTATCGCATCCTTAACCGTGTGCGATATGGCCAACCGTAGCAAAAGTTACCACTCGTCGAAATA